ATCATGACGGTGGTGGTGGGAAGAACTGCGTACCGGCGATGAAGCTGTTGATCGGCGCCGGATAAAGCGACTGGTCGAGAAAAGGTGACGTGTTCCCGGCGGACGCCGCCGGAGGTGCGCCGGCGATGAGGCTGAGCTGCTGGGCGCCGGCGCTGACGCTGCCGCCGCCGGAGGAGGTGTCTCCGGCGGCCATGTACTGGCTCTCGGAGCCCTGATCGTAGAGGATGCCTTTAAAGACGTGGCCACAGATGTTGACCGCCGTTTGGTATGCAAACTGGTCTTCTCCGTCGTCTATGGAGCTCACCCTCACGCACCGGAAAACGGCTTCCGAGCTAACCTCCGCCGGCAACTGACCAAGCTCCAGGCCTATCCACATAATAGAAACAAGTTAAATAGGATGAGATTGATTGCCCTGCTTTTTTACAATCTGACCCAAAAAAAAATGAAAAAGAAGAAGAAGAAGAAGAAGAAGAAGATGTTTTAACATGTGAAGAGCAGACTTTTAGGGCTTTAGGGAAAATAAGGAAATATTATTTGTCAATATTTCGTCAGTATTACCGAAAAACAGTGTTTTGGACAAGATTTCACTAAACAAGAGTTGAGTTGTCATTTCATTTGATGGAGTAATATTTTCTCTCACGATGCCAAAAACCCTTAATTCTCTCTATTTCTCTCTCTCTCTTTCCTTCCACAAATTAAATTTTTTTTTAATCTTTATCTTATTTTTTGTTTTTTTTAGGTATTTAAATATATAAATAAATAAATTTTACCAGAGGCATTAGCAGCAGTAGTGGGTATGCGGGTGCAAACGAGGGAATTAGAAGCGTCCGTCGGATTTTCCCTCTGCCTTTTTCCGCCTTCTCTCTGCCGTTGATTCTGAGTCTGCTGTTGCTGCATCGCCGCCAGCTGCTGCTGCCTCTCACGGCGCTTGGCCGCCGGGACCCACGTGCTCTTCACGTGGGTCTGGCACTGGAACCCCCGGCTCTTGCAGCACGTCCGGCACCTCATATGCTGGCAGTCCTTCTTCGCCTGATTCCCGCAGTCTTGGCAGCTGATCCCGCCGCCGGTCACCCCCGTGCCCACTCCGCCGCCGCTCCTCATCATCAGGAAGCTCGACCGCGGCGACTGCTGGTGGTGGTGGCCGCCGGCGCCGCCGTCCTCCGTGATGTGGAAACCGCTCCCCCGGCTGGGCCCCACCGCCAGCCCCCCCGCCGACGCGTACAGGTCGTGGAGCGGGTTGAGAACTCCGCCGCCGCCGGAGGAGGCGGACGGCGCGTGGGGGGCCGCCGGCTGCCATAGCTCGAAGCCCTTGTACTGGTGGATCTCCTCGTTTCGAAACAGGAACCAGCTCTCCGGGTTGATCTCCGGCGGGTTGTGGTGGTGGTTTTGGCTGCTGCCCTCCTGATCGGAGTTCCTGCCGCCGCCCCTTCCCCCGAGACCGCCGCTTAGTGAGAAAAAGCCCGACATCTCTCTTGCTCCGCCGATGGACGACAGCCCATAACCTAACAACAACGGGCTGTTTTTGGCGATATTAATAATATCCTCATCAACGAGAACGGGTCGGGTTAAATGCCGATTCAAGGGATATTCACGACCCGTTTTCTCTGATTCTTGGGTTTTTTAGGGCAGACAAAACAAAAGGGTTTTTTCAAATTGATTATTGGCGACCCCTTATAAATGATCGCCTGTGGATTGATCTGTAATTAGTTGATCATAATACAATTTGCATGTGAAAAAATTGCCAGGATTGTTATTCAATGGAACAAACTTGGGGGTTTTTAAATGAGGGCTTTCAAGTGTTGGTGCTGTGTTTATATGNGATTAAAATCGGGTGGAGCTTCAATTCTGTGGCTCTGTTGTTGTTTGCATTAAAGACGCAGAATTACAGCTCTGCCACGCCGCCATGCCCTTCCCAAAAACAAAAAACGTCCTCTCTTTCTCTTTCTTCAACCATCAATATAACTATTTAAGGGATCTTTTTTTTCACTTTTACAATTTTTTACCTTTTTCTTTTGGTTTTTAGTTTTTACTTTTGTTATCCGTCCCGCTTTCAACTCGAATTTACTGTTAACAAGCAAGTTGGGAGTCTGCTTTTTTACCGCCACTTGTGCACACTCACACGCTCATAATTAACTCTTTCTCTCTCACGCACTTAAGTGTATTCATTGACTCGGTCTCTCTCTCTCTGACTCGCCGTGTCTCGCTCGTTGGTATCATGATCATCAGCTGAGAGTGATCTAGAAGAATTGTAGTTCTTCCATCTGCATGATGATCTACGGCTGTTAGCTCCGCCACGTGTCGTTCCAAAAGCTTTTCTTCCCAACCTCGTCCTTTGTACCGGAAAACCCGCTGCTTTTATGTCAGTACACCTTGGGCCCTTTTTATTCGTAGAATTTTATTTTAAGTATTCTGTCATAGAAATGGGAATTATTAAATATTATTTAATTCTTTCGCTACTTCAAAACCATCCTAAAATTTATTTTTTACTCATGGGTCCAATTACCCAAATTTCTCCCATGATTTATTCTGGTTGCATTTTCTGATCATCATCTTAATTGTTCCATTTCTGATTCAGAATTCGTATAAATTTATATTTATTTATATTTGTTTCAAGTCGTAGATTTAATAGTATTATGGTATTATATTTGTTCCTTTCAAAGAATTTGACAGTTTAATTTTCAAATGATTCTCCTCAAACTAGGTTTGACCAATTAGATTTTCAGATCCTATTTTTCTTTCTTCAAGAGTTGTGAAGACGACGGATTTACTGCAAAATTTGTGGTAGTTTGAAATTCGGGTTCCATTTGTAATAATTATATATTGACAAAGTTTATAAAAAAGAATAAAAATGAAATCTGTATCATCTATTTTGTTTTAAAAATACAAAACAGTCTTTGTTTTTTTCCTCGTAAAAGGTACTAATTGCATCAATTTTGAACTTCGTACAAATGCAATTATAATTCGGAGTTGTACTATGTATAGTCTTTGTTCTTTGATCAATTTTTAACATATAAATACATTTTCAACTTAATTACATGATTATCATGATGATCAATCTGTTAAAAAAGTGTACACTACGATTTGATTATTCAAGTGTATGATTTTAATCAAATTCAACCATAATTAAGTTTGAATTATATTGGCTGGTGGGTATGTTTGAATAATACTTTCTGATGTTATTATGAATTTCAAGTTTGATCATATGATTTCTAACCAGCAGATGTGCAATATTTCAAGTATAATCATGAAATATGAGTTAGAACGCTCAGATAATTACGAAATATATAGACTTATATTTCAAGTCAACTCCTAATTGACTATTAACAAAAATGAAATGAAACGATGTAAATTACAATGTATAGGGATGACATCATGTGTGACAATCCTAATTTACCCAGTGTACAATAGTATGATCTAACTTCATCTCTATACTTATAAAGTACGTCTGTCTCCTCGATGGTTGAAATAAAGAAAGGTATATAAGCAATCTATTACACTAAAGTTACCCTAGTTTGAAGGTCTATGTTGAAACAAATAATAACTATCAAATGTTTAGAGAGTTAGTAATTTTACATCATTGGTGGACAGTAATTTCTATAGTGAAAAAGTAGATACTCATTTAGTTATGTTTATAAACTAGAAAGTGAGACTTGAATAAAGGAAAATTGTGTTACAATATGGCAGGTTTTCGTTACTAATAGAAAATAGAAACAAGTATTTTCCGTTACAGTATTGATTAGTGAAAACAGGGGTTCTGATCCTCATACACGGATTTCATTCCGTTGCTATCACTAACGATTTTTGTAACAACCAACTCATTTCTAGTACTTGAGTAATAGCAATCGAATAAGAAACGAGACTATTTATTCTTAATTTTTCAGTAATAGAAACCAAAGTTGTAATGGAATATTGGTCCGTTCTTAATATCTTAATATTAGCGACAATTAATGGCATAATTTTCCGTCTTTCATGCGACACATTAAGTAATCACAAAATTAATTTTCAGTGAATTTCTTTTGCTTCAAATGAATCGATTAATACACTTACAATAAGAAGCAACATTAAAGAAATAAAATAAAATAAAATACAAAAGTTTTATTTCATCAGTACAATAATAAATTCAATTGATAAAATATCAAAGTACACAAAATAATACAAACTACTAATCATTTTATATTCTCAAATAAAATATGAACTAATTTAATTAACATTTGAAGATGATCTTCCAGTAGAATTGGCTGAGCCTTCTGTCGATGAATCCGTCGTATATTGACAGCTTATTCAACTCAAGATGCATTAATGTTTCTTGTGCCGCTGAGATGAAGGCGTGGTATATTTATTCAAGTCCAGATGCCATATGATGCCTCCTTGTCAGCGTTATATTCTTCTGTCATTAAATTATTCATCAAATCATATATTGGTGAAANACTTACCCTATTCATTTTCCATCCACTTCTCCAAAAAAAATTCTTGTTACACGATGGATTTTAAGATTTAGGGAGACCAAAAGTTGTAGAAGAACCTAAATATTTAACTATATGATCTAAGAAACTAAATATTCCATAGAGAAAAATTGCAAATGAAACTAAATGTTTAACTAAAAGATGTAGAATAACTAAAATAATTCAAATAAAAAATAAAGGTACCAAACAAAAAGCCAAAAAATATCAATAAAACTAACACTAGTAATTCAATAATTTTATTGTAGTATTAAATATTATTTTAAAAAAAAATTGTATCGTTTCGATTTCGTTCGGTTTTAAACTCATTTGATTAGCACGAAATGTTCGTTCGAACTCATTCAAGCTAAAAAAAAATATTAAATTAAATTAAGTAACTTCATATTTTAAATACAGTTATTAAAAAACACATATTTAAAATATACTTATTAAAAAAGACCACAATATTTATGTTGTTAGAACTCCTTTTTGTTGTAGTGTGATCTACTAATTGAACTTTTAGATAAGAAAGTGGGGCATTGAGTTATGCTCGTTTCTTAAACTAGCTCCGTATGAATCTTGCTCTAGTGTTCGAGGCTTGTAAAGATGGTAAATTAAATATTTATGTTTTATACTCCCTCCTATTTTTTTGAAATGTCATTTTGGCTTTGTCAACAATTTACTAAATAAATATGTTTTGGATTTTTTATACATATTTTTCCATTATTACTCTCATCTATCTAATAAATACACTACGTCTTTTCATATTACTCTTCATCTTTTCTCAAAACATCCATATCTATCCTCATTAATGAGGATTATTATTGGCAAAAAAAATGATTCTTAATTACTGTGCAACTTCTCAAAACGACATTTATTAAAAATAGGGGGGAGTATTAAAATTTTATAAATTAGAATATGCTACAATTTTAAGTCTTTAACTTGAAACCATCTATATGTATTTTGTAACATAGGGAGTTAATCACAAAATTAGTTACTAATATATACAAATACAATTGTTTAAAGTACATTCCGTATCTAAATCATTGTTACTATTGTAACTATTAAAATTTAGTTGCAAATTTTAGTTACTAATAGTGAAATTTTGTCTTTTTATATTTCGCAATTTTGTCCCTACAAATTGTATTAATCGTCTAAAATCTCATGTAAATAATTGCCATTAAGCATATTTTGAAACAATTTCAGTTCTCATTAACCCAATAATGCCAATGCCAAACGAGGTATGTGTACACAGTACATAGTTATCTATCTGTATATAATTTCAGAATGCGTTGAGCCTACGTGGCAAACTTTGCAATCCTATTTGGCAAAAAATCATGGTATGGAGTTAGGTTTGGATATAAATTAATATTTGTATTAATTGTATTTTAATATCATTTCATATTATAACCATTGAATTGCAATATTTTTAAAAGTTAATAACTTTTGTATTTCTTATCGGTTTTACATATATAATATATTAAATTAATCATATTTTGATGAATTTCGATTTGACATCCATATTGTATATATAAAATAAATAAATTATATTTATCTTTATAATTTATCTTCATAATAATAATAATACGGGTTGACATTTTCATTTAATGTACGGGTATTTATTTATTATGATATTTATTTCAAATCTAATTTGTATGTTGTCAATGTAATAAAAATAAATAATTATTTATATCCCCTCTATATATAATTTCATAATGAGCTGAGCCGACGTGGCAACTCTCATGCTTTGGAATCCTATTTGGCAAAAAATCATGGTTTGGAGTTATGTTTGGATATAAATTAATATTTGTATTAATTGTATTTTAATATCATTTCCTATTATAACCATTGAATTGCAAATATTTTTAAAAGTTGATAACTTTTGTAGTTTTATCGGTTTTACATATATAATATATTAAATTAATCACATTTTGATGAATATCGATTTGACATCCATATTGTATATATAAAATACATAAATTATATTTATCTTTATAATTTATCTTCATAATAATAATAATACGGGTTGACATTTGCATTTAATGTACGGGTGTTTATTTATTATGATATTAATTTCAAATCTAATTGATATGTTGTCAATGTAATAAAAATAAATAATTATTTATGTAAATTTTAAAATTACATATAAAGTTAAAAAACTGTGAAATATGACTGATACGACCCTTGAAGTATTAGGTATCTAATTAAGTAAAAAAATTAATCTATTTTGTTTAATATTAAATAAATATATTCTACACTATGCATATACATATCATCATATTATTTCTATTTATTTAAGATATATATTTTTGTACTTATGTAATAGTAAATATCATCGATATTTTTATTAAGTAAAATAATTCAACACAGGTTGATATTTTTAA